CAGGAAGGCTGGGGAGGGACTTTTTACAAGAGTGTCCACTGATAGGACAAGGGGAAATGGGTTTAAGTTGAAGGAGAACAGATTTAGATTAGATCTTAGGAAGAAATTCTTCAGTACGAGGGTGGTAAGACTTTGGAATAAATTGCGCAGAGAAGTTGTGGATGCCCCCTCCCTGGAGGTGTTCAAGGCCAGGTTGGACGGAGCCTTGAGTAGCCTGATATAGTTGAGAGGTGTCCCTGCCCATGACAGGGAGGTTGGATTAGATGATCTCTGAGGTCCCTTCCAGCCTATGCCATTCTATGATTCTATGAATATTTATGTGATGTAGTTGATCATCTTACCCTTTTGACTCTGATGTAGTTCTTTTGACTCAAAGTTAGTAAATAGTAAGCTTTCTAGCCTTCTGCAAAAGCCTAATCAAGCAGAGGCTCACTTACAAACAGGTGAGTCTGATGATCACTTTCTACTCATCTCTCTGTCTGGGGCTTGGCACTTCTACAGGGTCTGTTAAGCATCTTCTGGACTATAGCTGCTTCTGGCCTGATGTATTAATACTATGCCAAGCTATCCTTGATTTACCTGTAGTGGCGTAACTTCATGATTCAAATAGTCCTGCCATATGGCAGCAACCTACAGGTTTTCCTGAAGGGACAGAATGGATTGGTGGGGCAGTAATTGTCATCTGCCTCTCTTACAGTGTGTGTGTGTGTGTTTCAAGTCGGTAATTTGAATTTTTTGAACTAGGAAGAAAATTCCCATGAATATTGGGAAATTTTTTGATCTGATTCTCAGCTCCTGGCTGTACTGCTGACTTCTGTTCTTTTGAAACAAGTTTCTTTATAAAAAAGCTTAAAGTAGGTTTTGGTAAAATTTTGTTGTATTGGCTCATAAATCTGTTTATATTAAAGCAATTAGTTTGTAAACGTAAGTAGACTTCATTTATGAAAACGTCAGGGAGTGGAATGTTTTCTTCAAAGCCTTTATTTTCATCAGGAGAAAAACAGTTCATAAGTTCATATTTCAGTTTAAGTTTTCTTAGTTTTCATTTCTAATGAAAGTATAATGACTTACAGGACCCTAAAAGAGGAAAAGTAGGGAAGGTATCTCCTGAATATATGTTTTTTTGGAAGGTCATCCAAGGTATTGAAAGGGAAAAGAACATTTGTCACATAGAGTTTTAGGAAATATGTCCCAACGTTCTACTCAGACAAGTGGAGTCAGTGTCACCTTCTGAGGTGCTCATCTGTCATAGAATCATAGAATGGTTTGGGTTGGAAGGGACCTCAAAGATCATCTAGTTCCAACCCCCTGCCGTGGGCAGGGAAACGCTCCACTACACCAAGTTGCCCAAAGCCTCATCCAACCTGACCTTGAACACTTGCAGGGATGGGGCATCTACAACTTCTCTGAGCAACCTGTTCCAGTGCCTCACCACCGTCTGAGTGAAAAAATTCTTCCTTATATCCAATCTAAATCTGCCCTCTTTCAGTTTAAATCCATTTCCCCATGTCCTATCACTACATGCCCTTCAGACAGATAATTATTACATGTTCTTTAAGATGTTACTGGTTGCTTTGCACTTCAAAGATAAAATGAAGTTCTGACAAAAGACTGTATGGGCAAAATAAGTCTTTGAAAAGATAAATTTCAACAGTTCAGCAAAATACTTTGTGTTTTTTCTTTATATTTTCTTTGAATCAAATTTCATCCTTACTGACTTAGGTCATGGAGCCTATCTTATCTCAGATTCATGTATTATGAAAGTTCAGTATATAACGTTAATACAGTGATGGTCATTTCTTTGTTGCTTGTGTTGGAATTTATAAAGGAAGCCAATCTTAGAATGTCATGTAGTCTGTAAAACCGTGAGAAATCCCAGTCTTCATTAGTTTTCCAGTTACTTCTGGAAAGACTGTATTTAAGGCATACCGTCAAGGAAGTAAAATATGTTGCAGAATTGCTTACATGTTTAATCAATTTTGTTATCAGTTTGTTAGACTCTTTTTAATGACTAACAGTCGCCTTAATTGTTCTAACTTCAAAAAGCATGTTAGTCTTCCCATGCACTATGTTTTACTGATTTTGGAAGTTACAAACATCTGTCACTCTTTTCGTTAGTTCAAAAGAGACTAAAAAGGAATTTTGACCGACGTGTTTTTTGATAATCCTCGAAACAGCTGCAAGTCTGAGCATTTGCTCTCTTTTTCCTTTCCTAAGTCAATATCTAATGCCACTAAAGCCTTGTACTCAAGCGAGGGGGGCAACCACTAATTTCTTTCTTGAGTCCAGGAGGCTTTTAAACATGAACAGTTAAACTTTGAGACTGATAATGTATCTAGAGCATAAAACCGTTTGTGAAGCTATGAATTTCCTGGTGAAGGAATGCATCCTCTTTAAACTCAAGTGCAACGCATCTCCCTTGGGAGAAATGCTTCAGTGGTTGTGTAGTAAATGTTATCAATGTAATTAATTTTCAAAATAACGAATCTCATTTTCCCACACTGTTTCCTTGGTGGTATTACATATTGATAGATATCTTTTCAGTTCCTTCAGTTTTAGGCTTTTTTCAACATTGTTTTATGTGAAGAATTAAATGAAACCCTGGAAATGGAATTTGTCATTTCTCTCCAATTGGTGCTGCTGCTCCTGAAGGTGTAGTGTTGCCACTGACCTGGATTGGGCTACAAGGAAACATCCCCTTGCATTACCAATACCAAATTTCCCAGTGAGCTGGAATTTAAGTACTAATAATGGTCCCATGACCATTTCATGTCCTTATTTGTGGAGAGCCATGGATAACAAACATAAATCTCTGTGAATAGTTCTGAATGCCACCTCAAGAGAAGAATTGAGGCCAGAATGCAAAGGGGAGAGAGGCTAGTTCATCCTTCTTCATACACATACATTCCTCATGCAGCATCATTGCTGTAAGGCTGCACATAGGCAAGAATCAGAAGACTGCCTGAGTGTAGAGCATTGTACCAATCCAGTGTTTAGGCATCAATTTCCACCTCCAAAAAGTGGCAAAATGGAATAATAAACCTAATAAATCACATAGGGAAAGGTCCCCTGGGCGATGTTTGTGATGAATTAGCATGCATGTTTTGTTTTTTTAAAGGATTGTGTGTTTAAAAGATGTGCAGCACCTGATATAAGTTGCAAATTGCCTTATAAAATTAACAATGACATTTAGTAGAAGGATTAGTCAGTACCCATTTTAATCTGAGTCAACAGATTTTTTTTTTTGTTGTGGAGTTTAGATGGGGGTTTTATGTAGGATTGTGAGAGAGGGTGGAATTCTTCAGGTTAAAATGATCTGTGCTCAATATAAGCTATTTACGAGATCTCGTTTTTCTAGGTGTTGCTGAAGGTGTTGTATCAATACAAGGAAAAGCAGTACATGGCTCCTAGAGTTCTTCAGCAAACACTGAATTACATCAATCAAGGAGTGTCACATGCAGTCACCTGGAAGAATCTGAAGCCTCATATTCAAGTAAACCATTTTCTGGGTTTGATACTTAGATGACTCAGTAATACGTTAGTCAATCTGTTACACAGAGTTTCTGGCCTTGCTAGAATTAAAGTTTTAGGGACCTCTGTTACAAATTGCTGCTGGAAAGAGTTTGGGCTTGTCTGGTGAAGCAAAACACCTTGATACAAGAGCAGAGCTAGCTAATTGCTTTTTTTGCTGTCAGTGGTTTGAGCTTTAATATATGAAGGACTACGGTGTAACACAGCAACGCAACAAATTCGGAGGTGATGAAAACTACTGAATTTACGGCATTGACTCATCTCCACATACCGTTATCCAAAGCAAATCTAATAGCTTGTGCTGTATCATAGCTCTACCTGAAGTTAAAAGATCCCTTTTATGTAAGGTAGCGCATAAAATCCACTGTGTCCAAATAGTTATAGAATGTTACCATTTTGTATGGGAAGTGACAGGATGGACAAAATCTGTGAAATACAGGACAGAATATAGAGATTGATTTAGTAATACTAGCCTGTTTTCAACTTTTTTTTTTATTACAGGGAATTATCCAAGATGTTATTTTTCCATTGATGTGCTATACAGATGCTGATGAAGAGCTTTGGCAAGAAGATCCATATGAATACATTCGCATGAAATTTGGTGAGAATTTGAAATCTACTCGTATTAAAATACGTCTTCACACAAAGATGGGATTTTTATATTTTGTTATGAAAATAGAGATGGCTTTAATCTTTGAAAGAAAAGAGAAAAACAGTTTGTATTTTTTAAATAATACAACGTCATATAGTTAACTTTTGGATATACTGGTGGAAATGACAGGTAACATACAACAGTCAACAATGACACAGGTGTTTCTGCACTTGAAAGGATAGCTAATTTTGACAGTTACAAGATTTTTGTTAGAAAAGTCAAACAGTCCAGGTCTTGCCAACAATAATTGCGTAAGTTCAATGTTATTAAAAGTTTATGCTTTACAACAGCTAATATTTCAGGCCCTGGAGTTTTTATGATCTTAAGGAATTTCACGTATGGCACAGCTCAGAACAGATTTACCGTAATGGTAAATGAAACATTACGAATTAAGCCTAGCATTGCAGACTTGTCTAATTTCACCTCCTGTGGCTTGCTACTTTGCTGTTGGGGTTTACTATAAGTCTATGCAGTCCTTTCAGGCTGGAGAAGAAAGAAGATACTTCAGGCTTCTTGAACAAATTCTTCCTACCACTAGGGCTTTTATGCAGCTAGAACAAGGCATCTTGATGGGTTTGGGAATTCCTTATCCCTCAAGTCAGAGGCAGACCTGTAAACAGTACAGGTATTACACAAGGTTCTGATAATCCTCTTTAGCAGAGAAATAAGAAACGAAGCATTTTTAACTCAATGATATGTGCTTGCATGTACAGCAAATAACATGTCAGAAATTGACCACTGTGTCTGCTTCTACCCTTACAAAAGATTTACCTTAAAAATAAGAAAGACATACGATTTCAAATTAGTCATGTAGAGCTAGTGATCATGAAAAAGGCGAAACGTGTATCAAGAATCTCCAGCCATCTGTTACTGTTGTTTGGTCTTGGAATATCTGTAGTAAGAAATCATGATTAACCACCTGGAAAAAAAAAAGGAAAATTGTTGCTCTTTTGTTTCATATTAAATCATTAGGTTACATTACAATTGTGAACTATAGTAAAGGACCAAAATTTGTAGCTGTTACATGTTTATTTAATAGATGTATTTGAAGACTTCATTTCTCCAACAACTGCTGCTCAGACGTTATTGTTTACATCATGTAGTAAAAGGAAAGAGGTAAGCTATTTAAGGATTTAATTTGAATACTTTAGCTAAATTTAGCTTATAGTCTCTGTTTGCTGAAAGAACTACTAATAAAAGTTTTACTTTTATTAGTTCTCTGTGTTTATATGTTCTCGGTTATATCATAGTATACTAAAATTTATCATTTATCTCAAATTTATTTTTCAGTGATCTATTTGTGGGTTTTTTTGTATTTGCCAATTCCCCTAGGACCTAGCTATCAAAAATGTTGTGTGTTTATATCAAAGATAAAAAACACTGTCCAAATTCCAGACTCGAAGCAGGTTATTAGAGATTTAAGCATTTCAGAGCACTGATCATGGTATCTGAGACGATTGATTGAAATACTTTGACTAACCTTACATGTAATCTAGGTCTTGCAGAAGACGATGGGCTTTTGTTATCAGATCCTTACGGAGCCAAATGCTGACCCTCGTAAGAAAGATGGTGCTTTACATATGATCGGCTCTTTGGCTGAAATTCTTCTAAAAGTAAGCATAATAAATGTGGTGGTTCTTTTGATTTCTCCACCCCTCCCACCCTCCCCTCTTAGAAGACATGAGAATAGCTCTTTGAGTTTACAAATTTTGGAATCACTGCCGTTTTTGTTAAAGCTGTTGAACTTAATTGTTTTGGGTTTTTTTTTGTCTGCTTAATTGCACAAGTTGTATTAGGTCATGTTCAAGTTCAGATTATTGTTTTAAGTTCCTTTAAGTTCTCTGCTTCTAGTAAGAATTACTACACTATTTCCTGCGCTACACTTAACTACATTCCTTTTTTTTATGAAAGGAAGGAAAAAAAATCCATTCAGTGAGAAGCTGTTGATTTAATGAGGTCTTTTCTGTGTATAGAACAGAGGAAATAAAGTGAAATTAGCAACCTTCCTCAGTTAGAACGGTAGCAAAAAAGGTGCAGGGCATGAACTCATACTTACACCTTGGCTCTGTAAAGTTTCCCTGACTACTTTTGCTTTTGATATCAGAGTAATGTACTGCCAAGCAAAAGATGTCTCTAGGAGTCAAAAAATAACAGGAAAAAAGTGTCACTATTTTGACTGAAAATTATAAAAGTCCATGTAGGATTGTCATGGGTTAGGCCGCTCCGGCAACCAAACCCTACACAGTCGCTCGCCCACCCTTCCCCAGCCCCAGGGATGAGGGAGAGAATCAAAGAAGAAAAAGAAAAGAGCCCCGTGGGTTGAGATAAGAACAATTTACTACTACCGCTACCAATATATATGTATACGGATATGTACAAGGATAAATATATACAGACGAGTGATGTACGGTGCAATTGCTCACCACCCCTTGACCAAGGCCCGTCTCTTCCCAAAGCTGCAATCCCGAAACAGATAAATCCCGATACCGCAATCCCGGATGAACGGGAGGCCCGAAATAGAGAGCGAGAGAGAGAGAGAGAGCACTCTGAGAGTCCAAAAGTGAGAGTCCCGGAAGGGCAAAAGGCCCTTCTTTCCGGCTGACCCTCACTTTTATACTGGGCGTGACGCTGCATGATATGGAATACTAATTGGCCAGTTTGGCCTCAATCCTAAATCCAAGTACAAATCGTAAGGAGAGTCATGGACTCCCCGTCCTGGCCATGCTCCCCCCTATCCTGTTGTGCTCCTGCACACTGGCAAGAACACGGCAGCTGAAAAGTCCTTGAGACCTCAGTGCCAACTACAAACATCAGCTTGCTATCAGCATTCTTCTCAGAGCGAGCCTCTGGGTAAAACCAAAACACGGAGCTCTTCTAGCTGCTAAAAAGAAGAGCTAACTCTGTCCCAGCTAAAACCAGGACAAGGATCTAAGTTGAATTACTAATATGGGATTTCATTGTTTCTTAACAGACTTTAATAGGGTAAAAGTCTGAGGGTTTTGTTATGCTATCCACACTTTCATATGTGACACTTTTTTACTGGATTAGAAATGCATTTTTATATAAATTTTAAACTGATGTGTTCATGTTCTGACAGAAGAAGATATATAAAGACCAGATGGAATATATGTTGCAGAATCACGTGTTCCCTCTTTTCAGCAGTGAGCTGGGTTACATGAGAGCACGGGTAAGAAAGTGTAACATTTACTGTTAAGATACACTGTCTGTTCCAACTGAAAAGTGCAGGAATATTCTTTAAGTTTTTCACTCTAACAAATCCGCTCCTTTCTGCACCTTTTCTGTAATCAGCTCTATGCTTATTTCAGAGATTGGTACCAGTCTTTGTGTGCGGTTATAGATAGGTGCTGTGTAGTTTTAAAATGGCTGCAGAATTGTGTGCATAGTTTTCCATCTGTGTCTGGTAGTATGGTCTATTTGTGTTTTGCATTTGGACTGTACTGCTCACACAAAACCTGTGGCCAAAGATGAACTTGAGATCATAGTACTGGTCTAGTGATGTCTGAAAGACAAGCCTCCCACTGGCCAGCCTCCACACTCTCAAACACCTTCATCTGTTAAGTTTCACAGCGCCTTTATTCAACAGTAGTTGTACTTCAGATTTAGTAAGTTGTGTAGGTTATAGGTATACAAGTAGTTGATAATGCTGTTTTGTTTCAGGCGTTGTAACTCTGAATTTGTTCAATGTCTTTTTTTCAGGCTTGTTGGGTTCTTCACTATTTTTGTGAAGTCAAATTTAAGAGTGACCAGAATCTCCAGACAGCCTTAGAACTCACAAGACGATGTCTGATAGATGATAGGGAAATGCCTGTGAAAGTGGAAGCTGCAATAGCCCTTCAAGTTCTGATCAGTAATCAAGAGAAAGGTAGCCCTCTTTTTTTCTTTAGTGCTACAGCAAGCTTTAATGGAATAGGCATTGATATTCAGGGAGACTTGTTCTCTTCTTTCCTGATGTTAATTTACTTCTTGCAATCATAATTTTTAATTGCTTATTCTAATTTTCCACCTGGAAAATTTTACTTTTTTTTTTTATAAATAACATTACCACAATTTCATGATACAATAAATAGAGTTTTACAGCACCTAATCATTGAATCAAATACGGTGGCAATATAAGTGTATCTGTCTTAGCATACGTTCATTTGTGTTCAAATTTATTTTTTAAAAAAAGTTGTCTTTATCCTGACAGGCTTAATGTTGCTTAGTATTTCTGAAGCTGGCATAAAACCCACAAAGCAAACAAATTCCATGTCAAATACTTTGGCTAATTTGACAAAAATGTGTTATGTACCCATTCCTGTTCAATTAAAGTTTGCATAAAGACTGAATTCTGATTTTCATACTTCAGTTGTGATCGTCTTGGTATACGTTTTTATTTTTAAAATTGTTCTGAATGTTAGTATCGTTGTAGTGATTTATACTACCCATGGTTTTGGCATATTAATGCCAAAGCACTAAATATTAATAAAGTATATGTTGATTTTTTTTATACTGTAGTTTTGTAAGAACGTCGATTCAAATATGTCCACTTAATTTACAGCTAAAGAATATATTACTCCGTTCATTAGACCTGTAATGCAAGCTTTACTTCATATTATAAGAGAGACTGAAAATGATGATCTTACTAATGTGATTCAGAAGATGATCTGTGAATATAGTGAAGAAGTTACCCCAATTGCAGTAGAAATGACACAGCACTTGGTAAGACTTTCTGGTGACTTAGGAAGATGTTTAATATGTGAAAGATTGGTATTTAAAATTAACATAGTGGTCCATCAGTCAATAGCTGTCATTATCCCAGTCTGCTTAAGTGTTATTGATAAAAGTAATTTTCTTCTATATTTAGACTGTTTTTTCTCAAAAGTGGCTTCAAAACTTGAACTAAATGGAAATTTCTAGGAACGATTGTAGAAATGTTTGAGAAATCTTTGTACGTATTTTCTACTGATACTGTTAATAATGAATTTTGGTAGCGCATTTCAGGTAGTCTTCACAATGTTACTTAGGTTTTCTGTTTTAAAACGGGAAATTAAAGAGAAGATTTTTAATGAAAGATGTGGTGTGAAAATAATGTTATGTTGTATGTAATGTGAAAATAAAATTGAATCTGCAGGGGAAATTCAGAGCTTGAATTGCTGTATCTAGCAAGTTGTACTAATAGTTTAAAAAGCAGAGGTCAGCTCAGCGCTTCCTTATTAATGGCCCTTGCCTTGGATTTAAAACTAAATTGTTTGCATGTCCTCTCTGGGAATGCCTGCAAAGTGGTCCAGTCTAGTTCAGCTACTAATTAAACCTCGTGTCAGGAAAAACTTACCCGTAGAAAATGTATTCTTTTGCATGGAAAGTAATGTCATTTATATCTTTTTATTCATGAATGGATAAAGGCTCAAATGGCTTAACATTCAAATTTTATCAATCTTGGAAAGAAACTCTGGAATGGAGCAGTCACCTTCTGATATTCATACACGTTTTCTTAGCAGAAGTCCTTCTTAAATCTGTAGAATACCAGACTTGCACAATTGTTCTTTGTCGCCAAGAGCATCTTCATTAAATGACATATTTGTGTGTTGTTTTGCTGTTTCGTGCAGGCAATGACATTTAACCAGGTGATCCAGACTGGACCAGATGAAGAGGGCAGTGATGACAAAGCAGTGACAGCGATGGGAATCTTGAATACTATAGATACACTTCTCAGTGTAGTTGAAGATCACAAGGAAGTAAGTAAAAATTACTTTAAAGCTAATATGTTTTGTCTAAGACACTGAAAGTCTTTTGTAGTTCCAGCGTTCCTGACATTGTTATCTGAAAAACTGTCATTTCAGCCAAAACCATCTTAAAACAGAAAACAGCGAAGCACTTACCATGCAACAATGTCATAACAGAGTGGGTCACGTTTCTATCACAATATGTGTAGTAATAGAGCATAAATGTTGCCACAGCATTTCCCATAAGAATCCAGGTTCTTGTTCAGATAGGTGGAAGCAACTTGTCTTTAACAGATGGAACTCTTGTCAGCTCAGCTGGAAAAACTCATCTGATTTGATGAGATCTGCCCTTCAGAGAAAACAGAAAACTTCAGTTAGCTTTGAACATTGACTCTGCTGACTTAGTTTGCTTTCTGCAACAAATCAATGTCTGAAAATACAGCTGTTGTGGCTGTGTTAAGTGATAGTTTTGTTTACCTGCCTAATCTGCACTGTAGAAAGTGTGATGAAAACTTTTTGTTATTTAGTTTTGTTTTACTGAATGGACTAACTTCTGTCCAGAGTACAGCTTGTTCAAAAGACGCTATTGGTGATTAAAAACCTTCTTGACAAAGTCAGCTACTGTTTTTTGATAAATACATTATAGTTTTTTAGTGACTAAGCACTTCAGTAATAATTTGTACTCTCAGAGCTCTGGAGACTTATACTGAGGAAGCAGCGTAATACAATTTCTGAATGCCCAAGGTTGGAATCCAGTGGTGCCATACAATAAACTAAGGACCAGTTTGGCTCATTTACTTGTTGCTAAAGCTGCTCAGTAAGCTTTTCATGTACTTGTGTTTGTCAGCAAATTCTTGCCATCTAAATAAAAAGTTTGTGTAACAATATGCTAGTCCTCAGAAACTAAATGATAAAAGGTTGATCAGTAAACATTTATATTTAGAGACATCTCACACAGGGTGACTAGTGTTTCAAGAGATAAAGTATTTAGCTGGTTAGTTTCAAATCCTGTTCTGCATAGCTAAGATCAGAAACTCAAACCTTATTTGTCCCTGTGCAAGGTAAGTGCCCTAAACAGGTTAATGACTGTTTTGTTAGCTGTTCCAAGGACTAATAAATACTAATTGGGAAGAGTATCTGAATCTATAGAGCAGCATTCAGACTGGTTGTCCATATGAACATCTTAAGCTAGGTTTAGGAGGCGGTTTGGTATTCGTTTTGTTTTTGCTTTGTTTTTTGAAATGTCACTTTTCCAGAAAAGCAAGTACTTCTGCAACTTGCATTGCTTACTGCTTTGATATATACATTTACTTACTGTATTTTAATGGGACTGAACTGCTGCATAGTGTTACTGTCAAGCTTTTCTTTTTAAAGGATACCCCATGATGAGATTCTTCCAATACTCAAAGAATATTCTAAAATCACCTTGTATTAAAAGCTATCTTACAAATCCTTAGCTGAGAGTGCTGCTTTTATACATTTAGTGCTATAAAACGTGGGAAATTTTGAGTTGTTTTTGGAAGACTGTATTGTCTAAATGGAAACTGCTTTGAGTGATTTTATTTAAAATGTGTTTAATTTCAACTCCAAAGTACTGAAAACAGACATAAATCCCTTTTTTTTTTTTTTTTTTTTAGATTACCCAGCAGCTGGAAGGGATCTGTTTGCAAGTGATTGGAACAGTTTTGCAGCAGCATGTATTAGGTATCTGTCCTTTTGTTGGCTTATTTTTTCAAGTGTATGAGATTGGTATTAAATTTACCTAGATTCTGTTTGTTTTAGAGTTCTATGAGGAGATCTTTTCCTTGGCTCATAGTCTGACCTGTCAACAAGTTTCTGCACAAATGTGGCAGCTTCTTCCTCTTGTTTTTGAAGTCTTTCAGCAGGATGGCTTTGATTATTTTACTGGTAAGTAATACAAAATAAATCAGCCAAGTGGTTTTGTATATGTGATTTCAACCATCCAATGAATTGCATCTTGATTGGAATGTTAGGAGAACACTGAAGTGAGGTTATGCTTGAAGTATTTTATTCTGGCGTTGCTGCAACCAAACTTGTTTTGCTAAGACATCTGTGACTAGATGCAAGCTTGTCTTGACAAACATTAAGCAAGATCTGTAATTAACTTATTAATATATAGATTTCAACCTGATTTTAACAGCTCGTCTAATAAAACATACAAACAATATCTAACTGTGATCGTTCTTCTTTTAATACAGACATGATGCCTCTCTTGCATAATTATGTTACTGTTGATACAGATACGCTTCTGTCAGACACAAAATATCTTGAAATGATCTACAGTATGTGCAAGAAGGTAAGTAGATTCCTTTGTGATAACAGAACCTGTGATCTCTGAAGTAATACACTGTTAAACTGGGTACTTTTTCCACAAGAACAGACAGTGAAACTGAAGACTGCTCTTAAAGCATTATGCTCTTTTAACATCCTCTGTGATTCCACGAATTAGTAAGTTATTGCAGAGAAATGTAAAGAGGTTGCATCAAATTTCAGATACATGCTTCTCCTAAAGGGGAAAAATAAATCCTACACAACAAAAGCAGATTAAACAACCCAGGTTTTTGTGCACGCGTGTTGCGTAATATGCTTTGTGCATACGGGCGTGGAAAACACATGTATGCATATTGCAGAAGGTAGATAGTTTCTTTTATCTGAGATTTGTAGCCTCACTATGGCTAGGATAACCACATACTATATACATGCTAAAATCCATTAGCTAAAACAAGCGGAATAGGGATGGATGGTAGAGGTATAGGAATAGGAAGCTATTTTCCCAAGTTCATGCCAAGTCAGCGGTGAAGGTTGGGAGCAGAATTAAGTTTTTCTGACTCAGTCTAGTAGCTTTCAGGTAGTGTTTCTGTATTTAACTTAGCTTCTCAGCTCCTGTGTATTATAGGTAGCTGCCAACAGGGCTTTCTTTATCCAATTAGTATGGAGAATACAAAGCTTTCCAGAATGTTAGCCCTATGTGAGGAAATGAATACTGCTTTATAAGATGGTGTTAATATTTTATAATCTCTAATAGCAATCTGTGGAGTTTTCAGTTTTCTACTTCTGGATATCATGTGTTCTGCCTATATAGAACTATGGTGAACTGTCAGCTGCCCTGCCCATGGTATTTCCTGAGAAATTATTTTGAATATGTTGAAATGTTTAGCAAGTTGGAACCAGGCTGATTAGGCTGATTGTAAATATTCGAACATTTTACATATATAAAAAAGAAAATTAGCCTGTTGCAGTCTCTTAGTGATTAGTGTTTATTAGCTGAGCACAGTGAATCTTTAACACAGAAGTTTTAGATATTGCCTGGTCTCCCATTGGAAATCCTAAATTTGTAAATAAATTTTTTACAAAATTCAGTACCTGAATGTGTATGGAAGTAAACTTTTGCAAAGTGGCAGCTGTTACTGTTGTAAGTTCTGCACCCATAGAGTTATCGAATATTTGTACATGTAGATGAGTTTTACCCACATTCAGCAATGCTTCAGTCTCTAGTTGTGACACTCAACCATTGCTGTAGATCTCGCTGCTCCACTGATGGATTTTTATGCCAGCATTGTAATGAAGTAGGTGATTTTATATCAGTACTTCAAAGCAAAGCAGTATGTAGAAAATACTTCTTAAAGAGGTGTCATCAATAGGAACTGTTATTTTTCAGGTCCTTACAGGAGTTGCTGGAGAAGATGCAGAATGTCATGCAGCAAAACTGTTAGAAGTAATTATTCTTCAGTGTAAAGGGCGTGGCATTGATCAGGTTGGTAACAACTTTGGTTGCTGTAACTAATATTTTAAAAAAGATTGTATTCTCAAATATGAATTGATTATGTATTAACATAGTTCCATTCTGAGAATTTTGTGTGGTGTGACTAAGAATCCTGTCTTCTACTTCAATGTCACATGTTCAACTGCTCAGTTAACAGCACTGCAGAGACAGTTACTGTACGCTTTGTCTCTAGAGTTTAGGACACTGCAAAACTCCATGTAGTGTTTTTGTGAATCTGGAACAGTACTGGTTTAGGAGCATCTTGGTTCTACAAGTCCATTCATTATATTCTAAATTAATTCTTGTGAATACTTCATGAAAATTATGCTTGAAATAAATAAGAATGGAAACGAAGTTCCTAGAATCCAAATTAATGTCATAGAGGAACCAGGGACTTCATTACGCACATAGGGAAGTTGGAATTTGAGATGAATTTGTGTGTTTCCACTGTGAATGTGACAAGCACTGTATAATAGCTATTTAAACATTTTTTTACTTGCTTTTTAATACTTGTGGATATGGTCCCTGGAAACTTTTAATTTTTAATTTATTTGAAATCAAATCTATAGTGAATTTTTTTCAGTTGGCATCTCTGAAGAGACTACACCTTTGAATAGCTGTTTTCTTGGAATGTTAATATATCTTGACTTTTTTGTGGATATTAAAAAAGACTAAGTTGATTTGTCTGGACTTCCTAGTGTGCACGTTTCCTTTATTTTTCATTTTTAAAACAAGATTATAGAACCAGGAATTACACCTACTGTGCATGATGTCACAAAATCCATGTGCTCGGAGTAGATTAACTGTTTTCACCTTTTCATTTAATCTTCATATATGAATTCTGCTGGCAATTGAAAAATTATTCCCATTTTGTCTTCTGTGTTTGTGCCAGACTGGTTTTTATGCCATTTCTCAGCTTTAGTGTGAAATACAGAGCTACAAAATTTATTTTTGATCACTAAATTTCTAACGGTTCTCACTCTTCAGTGCATACCCTTATTTGTGGAAGCTGCGTTAGAGAGATTGACCAGAGAAGTGAAAACAAGTGAACTGCGAACAATGTGCCTCCAGGTTGCCATAGCTGCTTTGTATTACAATCCTCATCTACTATTAAATACATTGGAAAATCTTCGTTTTCCCAATAATGTGGAGCCTGTCACTAATCACTTCATAACACAGTGGCTTAATGATGTCGACTGTTTCTTGGGGTAAGTGTTTCTAATGTGGAAGATTATTCTCTGTGGTAGAATAACTTCTATATTACCTGCTTGGAAATCATAACAAAATTTAAAACTTTTTCTCTCTTTCGTTTTGTAGACTTCATGATAGAAAGATGTGCGTGCTTGGCTTGTGTGCTCTTATTGATCTGGAGCAAATACCACAGGTTTTAAATCAAGTTGCTGGCCAGATCCTGCCAGCTTTTATCCTTTTATTTAATGGATTGAAAAGAGCATATGCCTGTCATGCAGAGCATGAAAATGACAGCGACGATGATGATGAAGCTGAAGAAGATGAGGAAACAGGTATGGAAACTGAAACTGCTGTTACTTGGTGCTTTTCAATTTTTTGTGATGGAAATGGTGAGTTCCTTTGTGGAATTCTTTCAGGTTCCCTCATTCCAAAAATCAAAAGCTGCAGTAGAACTAGAAAACTGGACATATTTTAATGACTTTCAAGTATTCCTGACTTACTTTCCAGTCCCTCTTAAAAACTAACTTCCTGGGCTCAGACTCTTCAAAGTCACATCAAGGTCGCTTTTTGTGTGTGGATGCCATTACTCAAAGGAATTATTACTGGGGCATGTTTCCCATTAGAGTGAGGGGTAAGAGTCAGTAGAATGAGTTTCCAGAAATCCTTCTAATCTGTTGTACAGTTTGAACAAACAAATGAGCTGCTGCTGGTTTAGCTGTGTATTGAAAATGACAGTTCTTGCGATTCCCATCCCCTGGCTAATGTAATCTCAACTTCATCAGCTTTTATAGACTTTCTTCATACAGTCGTTTCACAAACTTTAACATCTTTTGCCATCATCTTTATGTGAAGTTCAAAATTATCTAAACTTCTTCCACCTTTCCCTCTACTCTGCTTAAGCTTTTAGTTCTTCTTCCCTATGTTTATCTTTCCATCATCAGCCTGATGTCTTTTGTGAGTGATTGTTTGGAACAGTTTTCCACACTCAAAGGAATATCTGTTGGTTTTCACCAGTCTACTCACAGCCCAGTTTGGTTTTGATCTCTGCTGAATTCTGGACTCTCCGAAATCAGGCCATTATACATCATTCATACTATTAGAGTTTGTATTTCTCAAGCATTCTTTTCAACAGCCCTTTGAATGTGCCTTTAAAAGCGTTTTCATCAAATTATTTCAGACTTGCTTTGGAGCACGAATATTGCTTTGCTTAAAGTTCTGTCAAGTGCTGTTCCAAACTATCTGTATATACGTATTTCTATATACATTTTTATGACAATAACATTTTCCTTTCCCACTTACACACTTGGTGTAAGTGAGGGAACAGTGTCTGGGGGGAAGACCATGGCACTAGGAGAGGAGTTAACGAGCTTCTCCCTTTCTAGTCTGCACTATACTGTTACCAGTTCCTTTGCTATTTTTGCATAATCTGTCATGTCCCTAAAGAGTTGTTCTTGAGATAAACTTTTTTCTGTGTGATATTTAACTCAGAGGAATTGGGGAGTGATGAAGATGACATTGATGAAGATGGTCAAGAATACCTAGAAATTCTAGCAAAACAGGCAGGTGAAGATGGAGATGATGAAGACTGGGAAGAAGATGATGCTGAAGAGACTGCTTTGGAAGGGTATTCCACGATTATTGATGATGAAGACAACCCTATTGATGAATATCAGATATTTAAAACAATTTTTCAGAGTAAGTAACTATTTCCTTTCCTGGCCAACAAGTTATATTTTAACTTAACTTTAGTGTATACAGTTGTACACTGGAATCTGTTGAAAGCTTCTGAATAGGCTTTCCAATATGTACTTGGAACAAGTTCTTTCTTTGGAAAGAGGAAGCCAACATTAAACTTTCAGAGCAGGGGGAGACGCTTGAATGAATTTATAGTGGGAGGGAAAAGGTCAGAGGTTGTATTAATGTTTTTAAGTAAGCCTTGAATTATGTAACCCTAACAGAATATTATTCTGATTAAAATGGTAGTGAGTTAGTAAGCTTTGAGTTACAGAAAGCTTTAATGAACACTTGCCTTCTGCTTATGTTTTCTTTCTTTCACAGCAATTCAGAATCGTAATCCTGCGTGGTACCAAGCTTTGACACAGGGTCTTAATGAAGAACAAAGAAAACAATTGCAGGACATAGCAACTTTGGCAGATCAGAGGCGGGCAGCACATGGTATTTTTCCCCCTTTATACCATTAATTGCTTCTTTCACTGTTTGAATGCTGTTTACGTATTCAAGAAGAATAATACAGAAAATTCCTATAATTCAAGCCTGATAATGGCTTCACCAAGCAGGGTTGTTTTACACTCCAGACACATTTGGAACCTCTTTAAGATTGTGAGGTCACAAAGCTTCAATGCACAAAGTGTATGGCATACTACAGGTGTAAGGAGTGATAGAAATGAAGTGGCCAAGTAAATAAAAGCAAATTTGTCATAATTGCTGAGATTTGAAAACAATTGATTTGTTTTCCTGAACATGGATGAGCTCTTTATGGTATGGTGTGGTAACAAACACGTTAAGTGGCTGACAGATTATTTGCTGATTTGACCTAGTCCAGTTGCAATAGACAATGATTCTATGGGTGGGAAAATACCAAATTATGGTAGCAGTATCCATCTGTAAAGCTACATTATTAAGCCTATTAAATTTTTCAGATTGTTATTCTTCAATACAGATAATATGGGTTTAAAAATATAGGAAGTTGGCAGATCTTCAGGGTGGGGTTTTTTTTTTTGGCAAGTTTTCCCAGGTGTTTGAGAGTAAGCAAGTATGTATCACTACGTAAAGTCAAGGATGAATTTTGAATGATCAGCCCAGTCTCATATCCTGCATCTTATTAAGCAATTACTACAAGATATTTCAAAATAGAAGTTTAGAAATCGTTCAGTAAAAAGATTGGTAGTAAGAATGCACATTTTCTAAATAGTTTTTACCAGAAAACAGCCTAAATTACCTCATAAAGCTTCTAAGTGTCCAGAATGGTCCACTTTTAGTGGTTAAAAAATAGTTTAACTGTGACCTGTCAAGCACTAGACATCATACCGATGAGATTATATACTACTTTGCATTTTATGAAAAAGAATGGGTGCGGGGTTTTTTCGGCTCCTTATTCATAGAGCAAGTTAGGTTCAGATTTTGAAGTTTAACTTAAGCAACTAGATCACAGAATCATAGAATGGTTTGGATTGGAAGAGACCTTAAAAATCATCTAATTCCAACCTGTCCCTGCCATTGGCAAGGCCATCTTGTACTAGATCAGGTTGCTCAAAGCCCCATCCAGCCTGGTCTTGAATACTGCCAGTGATGGGGTATCCGCAACTTCACTGGGCAACCTGTTCCACTGCCTCACCACCCTCAGAGTAAAATATTTCTTCCTTAGATCTAATCTAAATCCACCCTCTTTCAGTTTAAAGCCATTGCCTCTTGTCCTGTCACTACATGCTCTTGTAAAAAGTCTTTTTCCAGCTTGCTTGTAGGCCCCCTTTAGGTACTGGAAGGCTGCTAGAAGGTCTCCCCAGAGCCTTCTTTTCTCCAGGCTGAACAATGCCAATTCTCTCAGCCTGTCTTCATAGCAGAGGTGCTCCAGCCCTCTGATCGTCTTTGTGGTCCTCCTCTGGACTTGTTCCAACCGGTCCATGTCCTTCTTTTGTTGGGGGCCCCAGAGCTGAATGCAGCACTGTAGGTGGGGTCTCATGAGAAGAGAGTAGAAGGGCAGAATCACCTCCCTTGACCTGCTGGCCATGCTTCTTTTGATGCAGCCCAGGATACGGTTGGCTTTCTGGGCTGCCAGCGCACGCTGGTTCACGTTGAGCTTCTCATCTGCCAGCACTCCCAAGTCCTTTTCCTCAGGGCTGCTCTCAATCCATTCTCTGTCCAGCCTGTACTTGTGCTTAAGATTACCCTGACCCATATGCAGGACTTTGTACTTGGCCTTGTTGAACTTCACGAGGCTCACATAGGCCCACCTCTCCAGCCTGCCAAGTTCCCTCTGGATGGTATCCCTTTCCTCCAGTGTGTCGATCACACCACACAGCTTGGTGTCATCAGCAAACTTGCTGAGGGTGCACTCGATCCCACTGTCCATGTCGCCGACAAAGGTGTTAAATAGCACTGGCCCCAGTACTGACCCCTGAGGAACACCACTCGTCACTGGTGTCCAGTTGGATGTTGAGCCTTTGACCACAACTGGTCAATGCACTCAGAGCAACTATTCAGCCAATTCTTCATCCACCAAGTGGTCCATTTGTCAAATCCATCTCTCTCCAATTTAGAGACAAGGATGTTGTGCAGGACAGTGTCAGATGCTTTGGACAACTCCAGGTAGACGATGTCAGTTGCTCTTCCCTTATCCACCAACGCTGTAACCCCGTCATAGAAATTTGTCAGGCACGATTTGCCCTTTGTGAAGCCGTGTCAGCTGTCACCAATCACCTCCTTTTTTCCCCCGTGTACCTTACCATAATTTCCAGGAGCATCTGATCCATGATCTTACTGGGTACAGAGGTGTGAGTGGCGCCGAGTCTTCCTTTTTCCCCTTTTTAAAAATGGGGGATGTGTTTCCCCATTTCCAGTTGGTGGGAACTTCACTGGACTGACGTGACATCTGAAACGTGATGGACAGTGGCGTCGCAACTTCATCTGCCAGTTCCCTCAGGATCATTGGATGCATCTCATCAGGTGCCATGGACTTGTATACCTTCAGGTTCCTTAGATTGCCTCAAACCTGATCTTCTCCTACAGTGGGTGGTTCTTCATTCTCCCAGTCCCTGCCTTTGCCTTCTGTGACGTGGGCAGTGCGGCTGGAGCACTTGCCAGTGAAGACTGAGGCAAAAAAGTCGTTGAGTACCTCAGCCTTCTCCATATCCCAGGTAACCAGGTCTCCCTTTTCCTTCCGGAGAGGGCCAGCGTTTTCCCTAGACCTCTTTTTATGACTGACATACCTGTAGAAGCTTTTCTTGTTGCCCTTGGTGTCCCTGGCCAGATGTAATTCTCTCAGGGCTTTAACTTTCCTAACCTGATCCCTAGTTGCTTGGACAATTTCTCTGTATTCTGCCCAGGCTACCTGTCCTTGCTTGCATCCTCTGTAGGCTTCCTTACAGAAAATTCTTGTGTTCTATTAGAGCATCCTGATACTCCATTTAGGCAACATACCACACATGGGGACATCATGTTTTAGGAGGATTTGGAACATAATTATCTCTCATAAATGTCGCCAAGAAGAATTTCCACAAGCTAAGAGATTGGTGGTCTTTGCACTATGGAGCCAGGTGGGAGCAAAGTGATGCTCCTTAGGTCATGTTCTCTTTCATCAGCTGTGACAACATTTTTTTTGGCCTGTTTCCAATGGAACAGAGACAAAATACAGATTATCTCGATAATACAAGTTGTTCTGTATTCCCAGAAACAGAGGAAGTGCAACTATTTTGAGGTAAGAAAAAGCTCCTTAGACTGGAAATAAGACATTATCTACTCTATACCAACTTAATTTTCAGTTGTCCAGGTATTAGAGCTTATAAAAAACAGTCTTAAGAGTAATCTTCAAAGGATGAAATAAGTAGATAGTAAAAACAGATGGCTTAATTATCACTGTTAGTTACAGTGATGGATCGGTGGACCTCAGGTGCCTAAAGATCTTAAGGTTTGATTGAAAATGAAAAGTGATAAACTTGGTAGTTTTCTCTCAGAATTATGTTACATGGTCCAGTAACCTAAACTCCAGATTACCTGCTTGGATATGAGGGGAAATGCATGTATACTAAAAAGTCTGTTTCTGGTGCTTCAGTGGCTGTTTCTGCTTCTATTCTTGAGTTGGGATAGGAACACTGAAAATTTAGCTGTTATCTGTGTACTGCTTTTTTGTACACGTACTGTTATTGATTTGACTAAGAAGTCTATTAATGGTAATCAGAAAGAATTGGGCACCTGTTGGCAAGTTCGGAAGTCCAGCATTCATGCAGGTCCCATTTCTGAAGTGTGAAAATTACATACTCATGTCCAAAAGCTAAAGTGCAGGCTTTTTAAAATCTAAATTCATTTAAACATAGCTATAACAATACTGAGAAATTAAATAAATCGGTGCATATGTCAGTTGTGGCCTGGCACACGTCCACTTGTGGGTGCTGATTACTTTCTTGGGGAACCCCAGATTAAACTTGTATCTTAGAGACTCAAATGGTCAGTCACAAAATCTTCATCTGTCTTCTCCCCTACACACGCACTAAAATATCTTCCTTCTGGTTTTTTGTTTTGTTTTAGAATCCAAAATGATTGAAAAGCATGGAGGATACAAATTCAATGCTCCAGTTGTGCCAACTTCATTTAATTTTGGAGGCCCTGCCCCAGGAATGAATTGAATTATCACTTTTCCTGCTACTGTGTGATTGTAGTGAAGAGCTTGTGTTCCTCCCAATAGTGGTTCCAGAACTGGTTCATGTTATCTACAACTCACTCTAAACTAATTGATGGATAGATTGGACAAAAGCCCCAGAAGTGGGACCTGATCATGCAACCTAATACTGGAAAGCAAACCAGAGGGTTTTTTGAAGATAGGAAGAATCCGAATTTAAAGCTTCAAATGACACACTTTGGAAATCGGAAAACAAGAGGGGATGTCATGAAGGCAGCTTTTCTTTTTCTGAGGAAAAAAAAAAACAGGCATGGGCTGCAGGACTATTTAAAATGTCTCATTTACAGGACAAGCTAGAAGGCAGACTTAATTTTTACACCTGTGGCAGTATGAGTATTTGCCCAGTTTATTTCCCTTTTCTCCCCTCCTTATTGGGTGTCTATTCTTTTAATGTAAATAAGATAAGGTAATCAGATAGCCTTACTTAATCTTCATCATTTCCATTTATCAAGATTGTTCATATGTAGAATATTGGACACTTAATGTAGCACTACATAACTGATAAATCTGTAAATGAATTAGCACTTTCATATTGAAACAAGCCTGCTAGCCTATGTACAAAAATAGCAAAATGTTTGCTGTTTATAAAAAAATTAAAATAAAAAATAAGGGATGTATTGGGGGAAAATAATTTCAAGTTATTAATTTAAAATGAACTAGCAGTTTTGTACCTGGTGACTTTGTGGTGCAGTCACCTCTGGTTGTGACTTGAATTCGGTTATGTAAAAAGGGGTTAGTGATATTTCATTGCTGCTAAAAAAAACCAACCAAACAAAACAACACAAAACACCCTCCGTGTCTTTTGTTTTTCTTAAAGATCTCACTGTACAAGGTGAAATTTGGATACAAATGTGTACTGTAAGCACTGAGGAAAAAGTTACCTTCTCTAAAGCAGGTAAATACCATGTGAAGCATCTGCTTTTAAGAGTCAATTGAAGTGCATGGATCAAACATCTATATACGCAATCTGTTAAATGCACAACAATTTAATTTGGCTAATCTGGACTATAGTCTATTAATGAATTTTTTTCCCCCTAATTTTGCAAAATACTCTTTTTCCAGCATGTGGTAGTGCAGGTGCACTACTCTTGCTTTTCATTCCCCCTCTTTTTGCACTCCCAGCATTAGTGTGTACTGTTGTCTGCCTGATCCAGACAGTGTATTTGAAGTTTTGCCAATCTTTCCGTTTTGAAGCCACAATTTTCTTCCTTCAAAGTTGCTATAGTAACTAGTATTTTAGCTAGAGAGGCAAAATACAGTTCCCTCTGGGACCACTATCGAAACCACTGTATGAAGAAGCCAGCAGGGAGATGCTGTGAATGGGTTGGCTTAAATGCCCCCTTTTTCTTTCCTAAAAGCAAAAATCCATAGGTTTTTGATCTTGCCTTGAGATCATTGGTGTCAGGTCTTTTAAATCAAATGTTTGGGTTTTTTTTTTTTCCTTTTGGCTGTTTTTATATAAAAATGTCACCTGCTGTTACAATTGATATTAAACAAGCTACCTTAATTTAATGTAAGCCTCCAAAACTTAAATACAGTTTAAAAATAAACTGAGTTTATATCTGTAAAAATGAAATGCACATATATATATTATGATACTCAAAATGCAGTCTTCAGAAAATTGGTTTGTGTGGTGTGTTTTCTTTTTTTGCATCAGCAGAGTAGCAGGAATTCGTGGTTTGGGGTTTCCTTGACAAGCTGACCAACACCATGCTCTGCCTTCCCTTTGCTACACGACCGCTAGCGCTTCTCTGAGCAGGTGTAATGGGTTTTTCCAGTCGCTCCTCTCTGGTCTGCCTTTCTTCGGCAAATACAATTCCCTGCAGACAGAGTGCTAATGTGAGAGGCTGAGCTAGGACTTTAATGCCACGTTGCCCTAGCCAAATACCAAAGGGATACTTTAAAAGCAAATTGTGGACTTAAAAGGATGGATATTGCACCAGATGTGAAAAAGCCTAAAAAATTAAGCCTTGAATCAGAGTATCCGTTACAGTAGTGGTGAGAACCACGGTAGTACTTTTGAATCTTTAGCTGACTGGCCAAGTATGGATGGCAGAACTGTTTTTCTTTGTAAATGCGTAACTCATGAGCACGTACAGGTGTACTCTGGCTGCAAGATAATCTCTAGACAAGGTTTTATTTTTGTAGAAAAAGGTGACAGACATAATTACAGCATGCCTTTTCCTGTGCATTCCTTGACCTTGAAAAACGCCCAGTTTGACATAAATAATTTCTGAACATCTGCTTGTTGGGTATCTGCCTATCTTGTTATGCGTCCCAGAAATTGTAAGACAGCCTTTTAGGACAGATGAGACACTTTTGCCTCATGGCAGAAGATAGGATAGAGCAGCAGTGAGAAGGCTCTATATACAAAGCAGATGAGAAAATGAGGGGGAAATCACCAATTTAGTGTCATTGTCATTTCTGGAACAGTTACATTTTTCAAATCACAAGTCAAGGGAAGAATTTTACCATGGTGTGAGGAATACAGTCGTACTTCAAGGGTGCTTTTATGTGTCACTAGACTGGTTAGCAAGGAGCATCTTTTTAAAGAATGGATCTAGAACTTTGCTTTCCTTTGTTCCAAAAAATGTATTTATATAAATTGCAAAACAATTTTGCATTGTTGTTGGTGGTGATAGTGCATTTTGTGATGCAATATATCAATTTCAGTGATACACTTATGTCAAATTTAAAATTGATCTTCCTCCTAGAACTTGCACTTATCTATTCCATTTTCAAGGATAATGCAGCTCTAAAGGAAGACTGGGAAATTTAAAGCCTCTGTTTTTTCTATTATGGAAGATCTCCTTGGATTAATAAACATCTAAAGCAAATCCTTATCTTCACTTATTTCATTGTGGTGTTTTGAATGTAGCTGTATTCTGACAGTACGTGGGAGTCCTGTTCTAGTTACATAGCTCTTAGATTTGTATTTTCCTCTCTAAAATATTTCTTCAAGCAGAAATGTTAGGCACAATCACAGTTCTCTTAAATACAAAAGATTTACATCATACACTTTTTTTTAAAATGTTGACATACTGAGTAAATCTAATACCCTTTTTGCCTAAATCACTTGCCTTAAAAGAGTTATTAACAGGTGTCAGTGTAGTAGAGCAAAGCTCTGTTCAGATCTCTTGTAGCCTAGAATTACTACTGCAAGATTCAAGAAGTGTGCAGTGAATTAATTACAGAATACCCAACAATAAACATGCAGATGGTTTTAATGGTGCCTAATAATTAATACCTGATTAAGTTTTATGGGTTCAGTTGTGTTTCTCTAAAGGAAATTTCCTCCTATTGTGACCATCAGTTCTCAAAGACTAGAAACATCATGAAGCTTCTCAGCACATTTTTGCATGTTTGTCAAGTTCCCTTTCAGTTCTCCCTCGTACTTTCTCTTGCTAACCACTGTCACTTTCTGGGCCTGAATTTGTCCCCCTGTAACACACCTGACATGCTGCTCAGAAACTCTAAGCACTTTGTACTTCAGCAGTGCATACCGTAGGCAGTCGGCACACCCCTAGGTAGGCATAACCCTGCTGATACTTTCTGTGTGTGTATTCAGCACCAAGATACGCGGCTGCGTCCTTCTCTAGAGTTTCAGCAACGGGACTGATGCTCACAGATGGCTCTGCGCAGCACAGCCGAGAGCATGGCTCCTCTGGGTGCTGCAGGCTCCCAGGGGGAAGGACGTCCTTCCAAATTCAGGATTAGTGGTAGATTCAGTGTTACCTACATATGGGGTTTGATTTAACAGATGTGGCCCAGTTCAGGTGACGCTGGTCCAGACTGTGTTTTTGCCAGTCTTCCATGATTTGGGCTACTAATCAAGTTTTTGTCTTTGGTATACAATCAACAGTGGATGAACACTGCTTCTGAAAATCTATGCCGAAGTGGGTATTTGGTTTATTTTTAAAAATGTAGTTGGGAAGAGCTCTGCAGTTCTGCATTTCTGCTCAATCCACTATTCAAGTTTTAACCTGAATGCAATAGTGAAAAATAAAGTTTATCAAATTTTGAGAAAAGCTTGCAAGGTCTGAGGCTCTCTGTATTATGCTGTTATGTACTGTAAGAGCTGGAGTTGAGTCCTTTGAGGTGAGTTTTTCTCTTCCCTGTGCTCTGTGGGACCTTCCACATACCTAGAACCAGGAACACGGAAAAGCTTTGTTTGTTTGGTGTTGTGGCACCAACTATAAATTACTTTGCAACCAATTTGTGTAGCTTTTTTAACTTAAAATGGTGTGCCATCAGTTTGTGTATTTCTGCTTTTTATAACCAGACATTCTCAGATGCTTATGCTAGAAACGAAGCACTTCAGAATGGGAAATACTGAGTTGTCAGATATGACAGATTTATTAATTAATTTATGAGCTGGTAAACCCAAAACATGTAGTTTTATCTTTAGTATTTGTTACTGTACCTCAAATCAAACTGAGGGCCATAATTTCTATTTTGGGTGAAAGCTTCCAATCAAGAATCAAGGACGGAAAACTTAGAAAACTATGAAAGAAAAATTGCTCTGTATTAGGCCTATTCAGGAATAAGCTCTTTTTGGCTGTTTGTAGGACTGCAAGAATTTATAACTATTATTCTGGAGTTTCAGGCAAAAAAATCTTAAATGCTTTCCTATGTCATGTTTAGAAAGGTCAAGCAAGCCCTACAGAGCTGAGCATATTGTCCTGTCAATGGTGATGGCTCATGTTAATTGCACAGTTGGGTTTTCTTGAAAAATCGTCTACCAAAATAACTGCAATACCCTTTAATTGCCTGGAGAGCTGTCAGGCTATTATTTGTTTCCATACCAAAAAATCACGTCAGGATAAATATTCTCGAGCACAGCCTTAAGAACAGTCCTTATCCGCAACAACTGGGCTGAAATGGCAGAAGGTAACGACGCTGGATAAGGGCAAGGTGCTCGCTCCCCCCAAACCTGCCCCGAGCAGCCCCTCAGCAACGGCACCGCGCTCCGGCACCCTTCCAGGGCCCTCCCTTCGGCTCCCTCACCGACAAGGCGCGGAGCCCCCGCAGCGCCTCCGCGGGG